AGATCCAGCATAGTTTTGTTAGGAAAGTGGGGACTAAGAATTAGAAAATAAATGAATAGTAGTATTTTGAGGCAGCTAACTAACCTCAGGGTTAGCAGTTTGAAACTACCAGCTGCTCCATGGGAGAAAGATGAGGCTTTCTGCTCCCATAAAGATTTAAGCCGGGAACCCTATACAGGGTCTCTATGCGTCGGAACCGATCCACAGTACATAACAACAACAATGAACTGAAACATTACTTAGAGTCTGTCTAGTGGGCTAAATGATCTAATGGTAAGCATCTTATTAATGATAGTTTAGCTTGTGATTATAGTCTTGGGTCACAGTATTTCTGCATCACTTACTAGATTATAAACTGTTCTACCTGTGACCTAAACTTTCTCTAAGTAATCCAGCCTCTTTATAATTCCTAAATACCAATTTCTATTCATTTTCAAGCATATACCTGGACTTCAAATAACTTGTGTCCATATATATAATGCTGTTGATGTTGTTAGATGCTGTCCAGTCAGTTCCAACACATAAGGAGTGGCTGGTGGGTTTGAACCACCAACCTTTCTGTTAGCAATCCAGGGCTTAAACTACAGTGCCACACACCAGGACTCCATGCTAATGGTAGAAGGCATTTTTCCCTTAGCAAAGATTCATTACTGGAATTTATCTGCTTCTGTCTCTCCACTATTTACATCTTAGAATAATTACATATTTTGTGCTTATTCTGAAAAAGTTTGTTAAACATACCAGACCATCCTGAGTACTCAGCCAATACCAGGATTAGTAAACTTTTTCTGTGAATGACCAGATAGTAGCCATTTTAGACTTTTGGACCACATGGTCTTTGTCCTAATGACTTAGATCTGCCCTATATATCTTGGGCGTAGCCATAGACAATATGTGATTGAAAGAAAAACCTTATATGGACAACTCTGAAATTTGAACTTAACAACATCCTTAGCTCACAGATTATAGAAACATAGGCAACAGACTGGATTTGACTTGTGGACTTCACTTTTTCAACTCCCGCTCCTTGGAAACACTATGTAGGGTAGCCATGAGTCAGAACCGTCTCAAAGGCACTTAACAACAACAACAGCAGTAAGTCTAGAACAAATACTGCTCTTTTTATGAAATGCTTACTTAGGTCCAAAAAGTGAGATGGTGTAAATTTGTCTGTGTAAACAAGAAGGACTTGACCTAGACTCATTTATCAGCCTGACTGCTCATAATGACAACATTCTTGAAAAGATCTCAAAATATGCAAGGTACCTGTAGCTAGCAATTTGTGCAGTCTTATTTTTTAAAATAGAGAATCAACAGAGAATTCACCTTTCTGAGCAAGTTCTTCTCTTTGCCACAAAAACGTTGACTCAGATTTGTTGTTCTTGTTAAATGCCATCAAGTCGATCCCGACCCATAGTAACCCTGTGTAGGGTTTCCGAAGAACAGCTGGTGAGCTTGAACCACCAACCTTGCAGTTCAAACTGCTTTGCAGTCTGCCACATTAACCCACAGCACCACACCAGGACTCCTGACTCAGATTAGTACATTGGAAATGCTGCCAATGATAAATTTGTCTTCCTTTTCCTGAAGCTAAGAAAAGTTATAGGGTGGCGTAGAACCACATTGCCAGGATTCTAGTCCAGGTCTCCTAATCCAAGTTCAGAGCCCTGTATACTATGCCAAGGTCTTTCCTTGTATATTTATATACCTGTGAACAGAAGTATCATTGAAGCTTTTTTTTTTTTTTTTTTTAATTCTAGACATTGCTGAAACATCTGGTATCCATGATTGCCCTAGAATGTTCTGAAACTAAGGCATCCTCAGAAGCCTGCCTTCTGTCCTACCTCTGCATCTCCCTCCAAAACATGAATCAGCCTCCTTCTCAGATATGCTGTTGTTGTTGTTAAGTGCTGTCAAGTCACTTCTGACCCATACTGACCCTGTATAGGGTTTCCAAGAAGCAGCTGGTGAGCTTGAACTACCAACCTTGCAGTTGAAATGACTTTGCAGTCCAGCACATTAACTCACAGTGCCAAACCAGGACTCCCTTTCTCAGATACAGGAAGGGCTAAAGACATGCACCTTTTCTCAATCACCTTTTTTAGTAGTGCTGTAGTCACCATTAGGACCGTGTGGTGTTGGCTAATATCAAGCACGTCTTATGTTGATTTGCTTTAGTTTGGATCCTTTGGACTAGATCCAATCCTTAGGAGTAACAAATGTCTTCTTATTGCAAAAACCTCTGCACATCTTCATAAGAGATTCACATTGGACAGCTATTGTTATTCCTATTTTTTAAAAAAACAGTGCTCAAGATTTGCCCAACTAATCTAATAAAGCTGAATCCAGTAACATCACTTAGACTCTTATTTTTTTAGCATCCTAGAGAAAGACATCAGGTAAGTGAATAAGAGCAAGGAGGACCCTAAATGAGATGTTGGGAGTTTAAGTGTATGAATTAGAAAGTCAGATAATTCAGAGGGAAGGGGATACACTTTGATGGAGCCAAGGCTGTGATGTACACCATATATCAGCGGGTCTATTTTTCAATAGTGAGGTCTACATTTTCTGACATCCCTTCTGAAAAATTGCATATCTTAGGTATGCTCTTCTCATTCAGAAGATTCTAATTTTCCTCAGCCAGAACAGGCCAATACATACCATTTATAGCATCCAGGGTACACCAATGTGCCCTATGTAACCAAAGCTTTGACTGTATATTTCTTTAGACTGGATATTTTGCTCCACTGTTGACTCCAAGAAAATATTTTTTCTGCTCTTGAGAAGCACAAAAAATGTATAAGTATGCTCACCCAGTGTGGGTCACCCAGTGCTCACCAGTGTGAGCCTTAGCTAACAACTTTAATAAAGCAATGTGGAAAATTATGGCATAATTCCTTTTGAATTTAGGGATCACAGGAAGACACTTCACCCTTCTGGTAAGGGTTGTAGCTTTTTCAGTATAGAAATAAGTTGAAGGAGAAATTTATCAAAAATATATCACCATTAGTACTGGTTGGGGGCAGTCAGGCAATTAACAAACAAATTGACCCCTAGCAAGGGGTTACTAAGAAGCCCAAGACATAACCTAAGGGAGGGTCTTTGCCCAGGAAGTCAATTATATTGCCCTATTCATTCTCCTGGAAATAAGACGGACACATATAAAATAATTGGAGAACAACATAATGGTAAAAGGCATATGTTGCTAGAGTAACCCAGAAAGACTTTCTGAAGGCAGAGGATTAAAAGGAACCACAGGGATACTGGTAGGTCTAATTAGGAAGCTGAGAAATGACCAAGGCAAGACATACTGTTATATAGGTGAACTCTCCTCTAGGAAATATGTAAATCTTTGTTATTCCTGCTCTTCTACTGTGCTTCTTCCTCTGCATTTTCCTTCTAATTAAAATCCAGTGTACCATGGAATAAGTATGCTACATTCTTAAATTATATTTCAAACATGGAAAGCCCATATCTGTTCAAATTGATATTCTCCAGTAATTTACCCAACTAGCTGGCTGCCGTCAGCTCTGAGTATAACAGAGAATGCCCTACAAAGAGTTATAAATCCACTTTGAAAAAAAAGTGAGGAAAAACTGCCCTCCTGAGTCTTTAACTAAAACTGAATGGACTAGGCTAGGTGGATCAGCTCATACAAAAATCCATGAATTTGTTATTTTTATCAAATGAATCTTTGAGATGGGAATATTAATTTGATAATGACAAGAAAAACAAAAAAGAAAATTGCACATTATAAATGAAGAATTTTAAACCCATATGATATTGAGGGCTAAGTTACTGAGAAAACAATGTGGACAACTAAATCCTTTTAAAAGGAGGAACACCATACATAAGTAGGCACCACCTGAAGGGCGGTTACCAAAGGTGACACCATTGGTTTCTAGCAAAGAGTCTGGGATTTAGGTTGATGAAAGAGGAACTCAGATATTATAAGGTACTGAAATAAAGGGAGAGAGCATGACAGGAAAAGGCACAGTAAACAAATACATTGCTGAAGAATAATAAAAAGATGTGAAAGAAGCAAAGAGAAGCTCATTATAGATGGAGTCAAGAGTAATAAATGGGACAGGAATTCATGATGGGCCTTCAACTGGTCTATAAAAGAATAAATGTCAACATATGTAGATAAAAGCAGATTACCTACATGATCTTTAGCTGAGTAGACAGTAACAAATACCATAAATAACTCAATTTTTAGGATTGTTCAGTTGCTGCTGAGTCAATTTCCTAGGTGTAAGTCAGAATAGAACTATGTTCCACTGGGTTTACAATGGCTGATTTTTCAGAAGTAAATCACTAGGTCTAGCTTCAAAGAAGCCTCTGGGTTGGCTTGAACTTACAACCATTAAGTTCACAGCAGAGAGTATTAACAGTTTTGCACCACTCAGGGGCATTGTAAAATTAGATTTCAGACTGAAAAAGAGTTTTGTTGGAAGCAAGTCATTAAAATACTAACCCACATTTAGAATGCAATTCCCTCAAGCCAGTGGAGGGTACAGGATAGTATAAAGGAGAGTTGTTTTGGTTAATTGCTGTCAAGTCGGTTCCGACCCATAGGACCCTGTATAGGGTTTTCGAAAAGCGGCTGATGAACTTGAACCAGCGAGCTTGCAGTACAAACCGGCTTTGCAGTCTAACACATTAACCCACAGTGCCACACCAGGAAGAATAGTCATATGATAATATGTACAACAACAAACAGAATGTTTTAAACATTGAATGAAAGTTGAAACAACCCAAGAACCTACCTTACATTAATTCCACCTCAGAAAGACAAGCCGTTATAGCCAAGTTGCCAAATTTTCTAGCGTAATGAATCAAACCCTTAAAATGAGAAATTCTTCACTTTGAAGCCTTTTTATTTAAGCAAAAAGGTTTTTCCTTTGCATCTGATAGGACTGTTGTCACTCACTGCAAGAGCGCATGCTTCCCTAACGGCTTGCCTTATATTACATGTTACACAAATTTGTGCGTTTTAGATTACCACAATGGAGAGCAACCTGAAGACGATAGAAGAGGAGAACAAAGTAATTGAACAGCAAAATGAGTCTCTTCTTCATGAACTGGCCAATTTAAGCCAGTCTTTAATTCATAGTCTAGCTAATATCCAGCTCCCACATATGGTAAGTGATTGAGAGTGCAAGATAAGGAATTTGGCGATCTTCCACAGTTCACAACATAAAGTAGATGTCTTTATTATTATTATTATTTATTTTTATGGTTCTTCAACCATTGGATATTTGTGGTTACCACCCCAAAACCATAATGCTAAATAACCTTGTGGGGTTAATCCAATGTATCCCATAAAATTAAATATGCTCTAAATAGGCATTTTAAATATGATGAAATGATAGCACTATGCTATTATACTATTTTATGCTTATGTGAATATACTATTAAGAAAATAAAAGTTGTATATGAACTACTATTTAATATCTCGTAGGATCCAATCAATGAACAAAATTTTGATGCTTACGTGACTACTTTGACGGACATGTATACAAATCAAGATCGTTATCAGAGTCCAGAAAATAAAGCCCTACTGGAAAATATAAAGCAGGCTGTGAGAGGAATTCAGGTCTGAACAGCTGCTCTAGTGATGAAAATCTTGCTTAAAAAAGGATGCCTCTTGTTTTTTGCTGCTGTAATTTACCAGAAAGTGTTATATATTTATTTCTGTTTGAAACAGTGTTATGCTTACAAGACTTCACAATGATTTTATGTCTTGCTTTAAAGATAGTAACTGCAGAATAGTTTTTGAATACATTCACATTTTGTACGTTTTCATATAAGCTGACATAGTGTGATATGCCATGTAATGTTTATAGCTGCTAATGTATGCACATTTTTGGGGTATATATATTTCTGAAGAGGTAAGCTGATCAAAAATAAATAGAGTGTAAATTCTTTTTAATGCTTTAGTGATTAAATGTTTTAGTATTTTGAACTGAAATGGACAGAAAAAAAAAAAAAAAAAAAAAAACAGCTTTGAATGACAATGTTGCAGTCCTGCAGCTACTTTTTAAAACACTATCATTTTGCCTCATGTTGGAGGATTTTATGAAATTTAAGAACTACATTTTGTGTGCATATTGTTTCATAGCAAGAATTGGTTGCAAAAATGCTTTATTTTTGAACAATGCTTGGAAATATTATGTGATTTTTTTGTTTGTTTGTTTTAGGAGGATGGTGTATGGTGGGGGCAATAAATGAGGTTTTTTGAATTCCAAGGAAATGGCATGGATTAACTGTAAGAAATGAAATAAGTAATTTATTGTAAGACAACATCAAGCCATGGAAACTTGACAGAAGATTCAAAGCAGCTTAAACAGCACTTTTAAATTAACTCCTAAGCATTACATGGTGTGAATATGGAAACTTCAGTTAAGACAGGAACTTGTCAGAGGTGGACAACATGAAGATTTCCTTTTTCATTTTCAGTAAACTTTGGAACAACCTTCTCTTATCTCCCCTAGAGTTTTGTGCCCCTCTGAACTGTTATTGCATTGTAGTTTAACAGAATTTGTGTGTTTTCAATTTAAATTAAAAGATAATTTAAGAGCATTGATTTCCCCTTTTAGCTTTCAAGAGTGATTATTATCATTGTTTTACTTTGGGGGATCAACACAAATGATTTATGAGTATTCTAGTTACTGGACTGAATTCTCTCCTGGATTGGTAGGAAACGCTGTTCAGTAAGATTTTTCTCTCACCCACCCCAACCTTGGCTTTGAATACTTGGTTCTATTCAAAGTACCCTTAAAACGCCATTTATGTTCTCACTTTTGTTGCTGATTAGTCAACCATATAGCATTTACATAGCTTTGTTGTTTGATTTCTTGTGACCTATTCTAAGAATGAATGCAATCAGAGTTTAAAAGTAACTAAATATACTTCAGCACTTTTTTTGCTTTAAAATAGATCATTTTAGACTTGTTTATACCTTCAAGATTTGATTGTTTGATTCCAAATGACTGCACTATATGTATGCATAAGACCACTTTTTTATTGCTGCATTTTTCCCTTTTGAGTAGTACCTTTGATGATGTGTTGTGTTTTCTGATGTTAACTTGATTTACATTTTAATAGCATCTCTTTTCCTTCCATGTCTTGATGTTATGCAGAAAGTACAAAAGTACTTTAAAATTTTGTTATGAAAAAAAAAAAGATGGGTTTTGTAAAAATAAAAATAAAAATATTTTTAGCAGAACAGGACTTACAGGGTCATTGTCCCCACAATGTGCCAGTTGACTATTTGCACTTACCTTGTCCTATATATCCGTACGGAGGTGTGCAATTCCTGTGTCATTAGCCTTGTGACACTGAACCTGGACAAATTATAGAGGAAGCCCTCATGGCTGATCCAATAATATTGCTAAGGGAGACTACAGGGATCTCACAACAAATATTCTGATACAATACTCAACCTCGGTATATATATATGTATAAATATATGTATATCCCAGCGGCACTTTATACTGTTCACTGTACAAAAGCTTACAGTTTTCCACGAGGACTTTAATAACTAGCTGGGAAAAAGATTATGTAATTACTTTGGGGCTCTGCAGTATGTTCTCTGTACAGCGCCCTCTTTCTGTTGTGCTATTAGTTGTAGCTGCCATGCTCAGAATTGCCTTTTTGAGAGCTGAAGCAAGGTGCTTGTTGTTTACCTGATGCCATATATATTGTCCAGGGCCCTAGCCTCCTTTTAGGACCCTCCATTGTTCATAATGGCATATGCATTCCCCCCACTGCATTGTGTCTGCAGCTTCTTTGCCAATATTGTAATGCTTTTAGTAGAGTAATAGATAGTATCAGTTTTGGATTCTTATTGTTATCACCTATGTACAATGGAAAGGGATTTTAAGCACAAATCTGCTGCTCATCTAATGTTGGTACATAATATCAAATCAAAAGTTATCTGTGACTATTATATAGGGATCACAAAAGTGTCACATATTAGAATGCTGATCTTTCATATGGAATTATTGTGAGTCATCAGAGTTTATTTATTATAACTTATTGTTCATATTCATTTCTAAGTTAATTTAAGTAATCATTTATTAAGACAGAATTTTGTATAAACTATTTATTGTGCTCTCTGTGGAACTGAAGTTTGATTTATTTTTGTACTACACGGCATGGATTTGTTGACATTTTAATTTTGCTATAAATGTGTGGAATCACAAGTTGCTGTGATACTTCATTTTTAAATTGTGAACTTTGTACAAATTTTGTCATGCTGGATGTTAACACATCTTACTCTAAATAAAAAAAAAAAAAAAAAAAGGTGTTGCCACATTTGTAGCATGATGGTTCTCTAAACCGGGTCTGCATTTTCACTTGAGTCTTTGGAAAAATACTTTAGGAGCCCAGGCAGGCTTCAATTTGAAATGTTCATTCCAAAAACAGTTGTTTTCTGTTTTGTTTTTAAATCTTTTTTTAATTTAGTTCTCCATTCAAAGGCATATAAATGTAAGTGATTTTTCTAAAATTATGTGAGTTTAGCATCATCATTGTATCTCACTCCTTTAAAAAAAAATCATTTTGTCATGTTTGCCATCCCTCACACTTCTCTTCTGAACTATTATTAAAGAGTTCATTGCAAACATGACACATTTCATCTCTATCATAGTGTAACAACCCATACTTTGTTTAAAATTAAATCAAAAGTTTTATTGAAAGTAAAGAGACAGCTTGATCTAGGCAGAGACTGAATTCCACAGAATGAAAGCCAACGATTAATACAAAATGGTGAAGCTGTGGGGACATTTTATAAGAGGAGAACAAAGAATCAGAAGCACACTGCTTACTTTACTTAGATCATTACAAGGCAGGAAGTTCCCTACCTGATTGATAGTTGTAAAATATAGATCAACACAACGCATTGTTTCCTGTAGCAGGAGCTCATACTGTCATAAATCAGGACTTCCTGTGGCAGGAGCTCATAAGTGGGACTTCTTACAGTAGGAGCTCAATCAGTGATTGGCTAAAGTACTATGTGTCTTTCCTAGATTAGTTACAACATGGCTTCTGAAAGAGAACGGACCAGAATGGGAGTCACTGGGTAGTTATATCATAATTACCAGACATTCCTTCCTTAGAAACAACCTGCTCAAACTGAAATAATTCTGTGGTTATTTGTGTGAGAGTTTTAGATAAGCATTGATGCTCAGGTTTCCTTTCAGAAACACTGTTTTTACATGCTTTAACACAAAAGAAGAACATTTCCTCAGCTGCACAGGAAATAGCTGTTGTGGGGGTAAAATCAAGAGTAATGAAGGTGAACCCAGACCTCAAGCCATTTCAGAATTTATCAGGAATCTGAATTTTAAATTCCTAACGTAGTGGTTATGATTCAGGCTGCTAGCCTCAAGGTCAGCAATTTGAAACTACCAGCTGTTTCATGGCAGAAAGATGGGACTTTATTCTTCTGTAAAGATTTACAGCCTCGGAAACCCTATGCAGGCTCACTATGAGTTGGATATGACTCCATGGCACACAACAATAACCACCAACAATACATTGCTAAATATTTCAGCTTCTATCTCCTAAGAATAGAGACATTTTCCTACACAATTACAATACAATTATTATAATGTTGTGTGTTCTCCAGTTGGTTCCAATCCATAGCTATCCTGTTTAGCGTTTCTTAGACTATAAATCTCTGTTTTTGTTGTTGTGCCTTTGAGTCAGTTTCGACTCCTAGTGACCTTGTACAGGGTTTCCAAGAAGAAGCTAGTAAGTTTGAACTGCTGACCTTGTGTGGTTTCCAGTCCAGTGTGGATCCTACAGTGCTACACCAGGAATAGCAAAAAGCCTTATCTTTATCCCACAGAGTGGTTAGTGACTAAATACTGTTAACCTTGTGGTTAGCAGCCCACCTCGTAAGCCACTATGCCACTAGGGTCCTTTACAATGATCATATTTGATACATACTGTCATTTAATTATGTATCCATATCTAAATTTCCCCGTTTAAATAAAAAACATTATATTATTTATATGTCATTGTTAACTGCCACTGACTTGGTTCCAACCCATAGCAACCATGCATACTGATGAGTTAGACCTGGCAACCTTGCAGTTCAAACCGACTTTGAAGTCCAGTGCATTAATCCACAGTGCCACACCAGGACTTTATATATGTGTGGGTATATATATATATATGTGTGTGTGTGTGTGTGTGTGTGTGTGTGTATATATATATATACATTAATCCACAGTGCCACACCAAGACTTTATATATGTGTGGGTATATATATGTGTGTGTGTGTTTGTGTGTGTGTGTGTGTGTGTGTGGCTTTGTAGGATAAGCACTAGACTGCAAACTGCAAACCACAAGGTCAGTGGTTCAAACCCATCAGCAGCTCCTCGGAAAACCTACCCAGAACCACTGTGAGTTGGAACCAATTCAATGGCACTTAGCAACAACATGTATATATTGTTGCTGTTGTTATTAGGTACAGTCCAGTTAGTTCTAGCTAACCGAAACCCTATGCACAACAGAATTTAACACAACCAGGTCCTGTGCCAACTTCATAATTGTTGTTCCACTTGAGGCCATTACTGCTGTCACTGTGCAATCCATCTCCTTGAGGTCTTCCTCTTTTTCTCTGACCCTCCACTTTACCAAGCACAATGTCCTTCTCTAGGGACTGGTCCCTCCTGATAATGTGTGAGGTATGATAGACAAAGTCTTGCCATCCTAGCCTCCAAGGAGCATTCTGGCTGTGCTTCTTCTAACACAGATTTGTTTTTTCTTCTGGCATTCCATATTGTTGTTGTTGTTAAATGTTGTCAAGTCGGTTCTGTCTCATTGTTGTTGTTGTCAGGTGCCATCGAGTCGGAACCGACTCATAGCAACCCCATTCACAGCAGAACAAAACAATGTTCGATCCTGGGCCAACCTTGATGGCACTTAACAATAATATCAACATATATACTTTTTTTAACCCAGTATCCAACCCAAGGATCATATACTGAATTCTGCTATCCTGACTCTTCATTTCCTTAATCTAGAACAGTTCCTTGGACTTCAGTGTTTCCCAGGACATGGGCATTTAAAAAATGTTGATGGCAATTATTTTGTAAAACATTTCTCAAGATGGATTTGTATGATGCTTCCTCCTGATTGTTGTTTTTTGTTATTAAATGCCTTTGAGTTGACTCTGACTCATAGTGACCGTGTATGTTGTTTCTGAGCCTTTAAATCTTTTTGGGACCAGAAAGCCTCATCTTTCTCACTCATGATTAGAGTCAGTTCTAAATAGATGAGGTGTTTTCTTCGGTTTATCACATCTGGGGCACAGGACGTCAGTTTGTTCTATGATTGGCTACCCGGATGCTTTAAAACAATTGTTATTTCAATGTGACAGCAAGGATCTGGGTTTTACTAATAAAACATAATTACTAATAAACTAATTCCTCTACAAATATTTAACAATCCATTATCATATTTCTACATAAATAGCACAAAATATTGTGTTTGTTTGCCAACAGATCCCTCTCCCTGAAGGTATTTTGGTAAGCTCTGGTATGCCATTTTTTTTTTTTTTTAAAAAACAGTTTGCTATAGAAAAAAAGTAGAAACAGCATATTGAATTGACAAAAGTACTTGCTTTTATGGATGGTGAAGTGGAGTAGTTGGTAAACAAGCACACATATTAGTGGTGTAAAAATACAGTACTTATTTTAATGTCATTGTTGTTAATAAATGTCAAATGCTAAACTCCAAGCCCATTGTCCAGCAATAGAAACTCCTCATAATGAACACTTCAAGGAGTGATTCCCACAGCCTCTGTCAATCACTAAGTGTATCATAATATGCCAAGATTCAAGATGTCTGAGTACCTCTTGCAGGGTAGTCTTGTTGAAGATCTCTTCATTAACTTCAGTTCTTTCTGAAAATGTTAAGGATTGCAATACACTCCTACTCAAATCTTGAACTTGGAGAGGTGAGGGAGTGCCTATGCTATGTTTTCTTAGGATCCATACATTTTAATCTCTCTAGAACCACAGGATACAAGCGTTATCAAAGGTTATCTTTGGGAACAGCTCTAGGGGATTATTATCACAAAGATATATAGTCCACTCTGCGTCATAGTGATCCTGTATAGTGTTTCTGAGGAGTGACTGGGAGGTTTGAACTGTTGACCTTGCAGTTGGCCTTTCAGTGCTTATCCTTTTTTTTTGTTGTTGTTGTTAAGTGCCATAGAGTTGGTTCCGACACATAGTGACCCTGTATAGGGTTTCTGAGGAGCAGCTTGTGAGCTTGAACCACCCACCTTGCAATTCAAATGACTTTGCAGTCTGGCGCATTAACCCACAGCACCATAGGTGCCATCCATTTGGTTCTGAGTCATAACAACCCTGGATATGATTTCCAAGGGTTTAAATCTTCTCAGGAGCAGAAAGACTCATCTTTTTCCTGATGGCTGGCTGGTGGGTTCAGACTGCAGACTTCGTGGTTCACAGTCCAGCGCTTATTGCATGGAGCTACCACACTCCCCCAGTGCTAGTCCCCAGTGTCCTGGTCTGAAGAACATTACAAAATCCACAGTATATAAAGGTTAAAAAAAAATCAATAGAGATATCTTTCTTCCATTGTTGTTGTTGTTGAGTGCATCAAGTCCACGCCAACTCATAGTGGACCCTGCACAGGGTTTCCAAAGAACAGCAGCTAGGTTTGAATCCAATGATCTTGGGGTCAGTAATCCATGCTTATCCACAGGTCTTTCTATCTCTCTTCCATGCTGGTGTAGATGTTAAGTGCTGTAGAGTCTGTTCTGATTTATAGCAACCCTGAAGGGCTTCCAAGGAGCAGCTGGTGAGTTTGAAACACTGACCTTGTGGTTAGCAGTCCTGTGCTTATCCTATGGTTGCTGTTGCTGCTAAGCAGATATGCTTAAAACAATGAATCTTCTAAATTGTTTCACTAGATCAAAGACACAATGTTGCAAATACAACAGTCAGTGGAATTTTCACCAGTCCAGAAAAAAGGAAAGATCATAATGGATAACTGCCTTTTATCTACAAGTCTGCCTACAGCAGGAGGTGCCTGGCCTGAGTTCCTTAGGCCCCTTTTAGGAGCACCTGTGAAGGTCTGGTTTCAGTTCATTAGGTCCTATTCATGAACACCTGTGGTTTTACCCTTCCTGAATACAAAATATCCCATTCCGCTCTCCCATAATTCTCACATTGACAGGCATTTCAATATTGTGTCAGATAACCATGGTGGCATTAGACATTAAAGTTAAACGATGAAGATGACTTCA